CCTTTCCCGGGTGCTACATTATATGGAACACAAATACATGCAGAGCCTTATCCGAATTCGCCTGCTCAAGCATCAGATGGCGGATATTCGCCAGCGTAGCCAAAAAAAAACTGAACCGCTAACAAATGAACAAGTTTCCCTGGGTAAGAGCACAGACTAGGAAGCCCATAATTAGCAGTTTTCTCTGGTCGGTAAGCTGCTTTCATCTAAAACTACACCTATTAAAGGGTTAGTCAAGTGAAGATGAGACTGTCCGAGGTGCTTTTTGGGTACTCAAAACTTGTCAACTGGAGCTAGCACTTGAAGAAATAAACTTTCATACCACTACTTGATAGATTCAGGTTATGGTTCTGTCTTCTGGCATCATTAATCAAACTGATGTGTCATAATTTTAATCTGGTGGGTCACTATCTCGACATGGATGTGGCAGATGAACTGGAAATTTGGCTTAACCATTATTAAGGTAGAATTTGATTGACATAACAATTCGGCTTAGCAGCCCATTTTTGAGCAAATCCATATTCTACCAATGACTTTGGAGGGAAGCACATCGTCTTCTCCGATACAATGAAGATAATGGTAATGAACTGCAAAATATTTGCATATTCGTCTATAATTTTAGAATTGTAGAGAATATCATAAATACATATAATACAAACTGTCTTTTTTTTCCCCAAAAAAGAAAAATTATCTTTGACTCCTTTAATGGAGTTCCCTCATTCTTTGGATCTATTTAATATGTAATTTGTAAGAAGTAAATTCATTTGATCGAATAAAAGGATTATTATGGTTTAGTTTGAATCGAGCTCTTGCTAATTATCAATGGCGGACCTTCTTTCCATAAGGGACTGGCCCATCTCCCTGCCACATTCTCCCATCATAACCACCTCCTCATTGACATAATGTAACAATGTTCTAAAAGATACTTGTTCCGAGTTTTGCTTGTCTCGTACAAGATGGAACTTTCTGTGTTCTTCTATGATCAAAACAAGGTGGATTCTTTGTACTGCTGTTGGTAAAAAAATCTGTCAAAGACTTATATTTCCTCAATCATTTGATCTTGATATGCATAACACGTTCAATTTTTTTTTGAAACCTCTGATAGTTATGAAGTTTCAATCTTTTGAAAATTTGTAAATTTGAATAAATGCTGAGGAATAAGCAAAGACTGCAAAGAAGAGACTCTACTTTCTCGCAAGAAGAACTTTGTAAAGAAATTCTAGTTCAACTTTTTAAAAATTAGAACTTGGAAATAGATCAAAACAAAAAAAAAAAAGGCTCAGATAGAAAGCTGATAAATAGTGCTAAAAAATCTTTACTGTGGAAAAATTACACTTCAAACAATTCCCATCAATTCGACTTTAACTAATCCTGCTACTACTTGACCATCTTCAGAAAATGGATAAGATTTTCCGGCTTTGGACCAGCATGATTATCATATCATAACCCAAGAGAACAAAGTTACCGATGTCATCTCTGCAATTTTAAATTAGGTGCCCAGCCAGTACGTCTCATTTCCTGAGCAACCCAAACTCCAATGCAAGTATTCATTCACTAATGTTGCCTTCTTAATTGAAGAAAACAAATTTCTTCACTGAAAAGAAAACTCATACATTGCAGACTAAATCGAAATGTTTCTAGTATGTCATCCAAGCAAATCGCCTATGATCTAACAGACAGCACAAACGTCAAGCGTGGGTTCAGCGAAAAGATGAACTTTTAATAACCACCTTGAAGAGTAAGCAAGAAGCTACAAAAACTACATCAATGGATGCATGACAAGTAAAACCATCTGTTAGATAGGAAATGAAAAGACCAAACACAAATTACAGAGAGCGCATCTTAGGTCGATCCCAAGTATATCCTCCTATTTCACCATGCCTATAAATTTCTGAAATCATTGTGATATAAATATAACAAGCAAGCATCTACCACAATTAACAGCTACTTTTTCATTTTGTGCTTAGCCTATAAATCTATTGAACAAATAATGGCGATTGTTATTAACTTGCAGGCAATCAAACAACTAATCACAAATCCAAGCACAATAGAAACGAAATAGAAACCAAAACCGCATTCAAGATCATTAAACAATATAAATATAACATCATTAAATTCCGGGTAAACAGATATATCAATTTTAAAACAAGTTCAACGAGATCAAAATCGGAAACCAAAGAGTCTAAAACTTATGCTAGAAAGAAACAACTCGATTCCCCCGAGAGAAAAAGATCTACACCAAACCTAGGCAGTTAGGACGACGGCGCCACCAGCTTCCTTAATCTTCTTCTCGGCGGTCTTGGACACGAGCTTAGCCTTTACGACGACGGGCTGATTCTCCGGCAAGACACCCTTACCCAAGACCTTGAAGTAACCAAACTGAGTGACATCGATCAATGGAGCGGAGTCCTTGGTGGCCTTGGCTTTGACATCCTCTGGCACAAGCGACCAGAGTTTGTCGAGGTTGACGATGGGGCAGTGGTACTTGTTACGCAGCTTGTGGAAATACCTCATACCAACTTTACCGAAGTACCCAGGATGGTACTTGTCGAAAAGGATCCTGTGGTGGTGCATACCTCCGGCATTACCGCGACCTCCAGGGTGCTTGCGGTGCTTCCCAATACGACCATGGCCGGCGCTCACATGGCCTCTCTTCTTGCGGTTCTTCTTGAATCTGGTTGTCATTTCTGCTTCTCTTGGATCTGGTTGCTCCTCTGCTAGGGTTGTGGGCGGCTGCGAGGAACGCTGATGAGAAGGGCGAGTAGTAGGGTTTGGGGGGCATTTTATCTTTGGGGTGAGCTTTTCTTGTTTCCTGGTTTGCCCTTAAGGGTTTTGAGTATTTACTGCATCTCGTTCGGGCTTGGTCCGCAGTCAGTAAGTTTTGGGTTATGGACATGGGCTGCTCCAAGACGCTGTCACCAGAGAACTATGGGCCCAAAAATGCGAAGCCCATTTGGTTATATTATGAGCTTACAACTTATGGAGCTATCTCGTTTCCTTTCCTTAATCCAAAATTCATATAACATTAGAAAAGGATACGTTTTATAGGCTATTTATTTTAGTATTAGTGTCTATAATTGCAAGAGCTCAAATAAACTGATTTGTTTGAATTTGAAATTTAAACTGCATTAATTATATTTAAGTACGTTTATAAAAACATTGAATAACTTCTCTCAAATTTTTTGATAAAAAATTGTGAAAGAATTATAGAAACAAAACCTAATTTACAGGAGGTTCTAATAATTCTTTTGTGTTGGCAAGAAACCGAATAATTATTTCTTCCTAGATATGTTGTCTTCACTCTTCATGGAGTGTTTATGGGGATGAAATTTGACAGCAGGTTAACATCTTTGGAACTCATTTTCTTGGCAAGGACCAAACAGAAGCCTATAAACATTAACGTATTTATATAAGGACATCATATATTATATAGGGAAAAAAAAAAAGAGGAACTGCTTTTATTAAATGCAGCAATTGCTTAGCATAAGCCTGGAATTATTAAAAAAGAAGAAAAGAAAAAGAAAAAAATTGCCAGATATTTGGGCCTCTCGTATTTGAAAAATAAGCAACTATTAACCAAAAAAATCCTAATAGCCAGATATTTGGTCTGCATAATTTTCCACATTGTTGCGTTTGGAATCTGGGTTGCCTCCCCATGTCCTAATTCTGTCTTCTGCAACTGAAGCCTGCAAGTACCATACCCATCCACCATATTAACTTCCAACAACACAAGTCTTAAATCCCATCACATGCGTTTTGTTTAAATTCCCTCACCTCTTTGTTCCAGTTGGTTTTGTAAACCATTCCAAACAGCACACAAGTTTGTACCATCGTTCCTATCAGCATTCCCCACCAAATTCCCTGCCAAACAATAAAGCTGATCAATTTGATTTCACATAATATATACTGAAAACCAAGAGGAATTAAGAAAGATTCATACTGCCACGCCATATTGAAACTTGTAGCCAAGTATTAGACCCAAAGGAATCCCGAGTAAATAGTAGCATGCAATATTCACGTAAGCAACAATAGCCTGCCACCCAGCTCCAATTGCCACCCCTGCAAAATCAAATTTATACACATAAGGATATTCTAATTCAAGTGAAATTATGGCGTTGATGGAGATATATATGATGTGTACCTGAGAGAACAGGTTGAATATTGTCAATGATAATGGAGATGGTGAGCAGTGGCGTCAGCTCCCTGACAAGATTTCTAACCTGTTCGTCGCTTGAAAATAGAACTGGGTATTTGTCCTGGAAGATTA